GCCAATATTCTCCACGTAAACAGAATATGCCTTATCTAACGGATAAACGCATACGTGTGTGTATACGTGTGTGCGCGTGCGTTTATATAGATCAAATCAAACTGAACTGGGGAAATCCTTAATTAGAGTGGTGGTTTGTAGACCGTGTAACGTGACGTTTAAATACGAGCCGCGGATCAGAGAGAAGTAATACGCCGCGCAAACTGTAGATCCGTTATAATTACGCAGGTCGACCGCTTCAATTAATACGCAGCATTTATTTGATATGAAGACACGGAGCCGCCGCCGCCGCCGCCGCCGCGTACCCGGGTCAGCGGCGCACGACGTCGAGCGGATCGTCGGCGGCGGGGATGCTCACTGTCAGTCGATCGCTCCGGACGTCCCGCCGATCTCGCGTCCACGGTGACGGGGAACCGTCGTGAGGGACGCGACTCAGCGCATCACTTGTCGCGTATCCCGGCTCGTATCAACTCCACCTTTCGCTCCACTCTCGACCTGCGTCGCGGCGGAGTTTACTACACGGGTCTCTCTCTCTTCACCCGTGCCTCTTCCTGTTCTCTCGTTCGCTGACCGCCCCGTTCTATTAGCATGCTAACCACTAGATAGCGTTCAATCCGCCTCGCCGCGCGCGTTCTAGCCGCTCTCCGTGTACCAACGGAGCTTCTCGCGCCGCGACGATTTGAATAGTCGGACGATCGTATATATAAGACCATATGTAAGACGCCGCGCTAGATTAAATAATTGACGGTAGTACGGAGGCGTTTTTGAAGTATGTATACGAGGGACGAGCTTTCCCGAGTGAAAATGCTTGGCATTAAAGATGTACTTGCGTTATCGCACGAATAAATTGCGATTCGATGTATTTATCTCAACGTGTTGCTCATCATTATACTATACAGATCCCACACATATATCTATATTAATATCTACAAGATATATATAATAATTACTTTAACAATAACTCGTAAAATTTGTTATATCGTAATAAATAATGCCGAGTGTGCTTCAAGTATAATAAATTCAGTAGAGAGTGCGTTGCTAAAAACGATCCCGCAAACGTTGGCACGTCACGCTTATTTCTGCGCGGATTTATTTTTATATTGAATGCACGCGGATAAGCACGAATAACGCCCGTTTCCCGCAAAGCTTCGGGAACATGCGAAAGGTTTTTCCGTTACTTGCATCTTTCTGCACATGTACAGAAGAAATATCTATCTCGCGCGTCACGTAGTCTGCACGTGGAACTTCAACTCGCACAGAAGTTCGCCGTGGCATATATCTTTCGTGTCTGTAATTGTGGTGCACGAAATACCCCAACATTACATAAAGGACCGTTGCATTTGTGTATTTCTATTTAGATGTCGTGCACATATACATTCCGATTTACCAGGGACATCAGCCAACAAATCGATCGCGGCATGATTAGCCCATCCGTCAGCTATCGTGAATCTCTAAAAATTCGCGGTCTCTTAAATCCGTCCTGATCGGGACGTTCACGTTTCCGATACTTGACGATTAAAGACAGTTATCTTGTCAAAAATACGAAAATTTGCGAGATGTCAATTAATTAGGAGAAATTAATTAATTAATTAAAATCTAACAGACTTGTTCGGCCACTGAGTAGTTAATTTCAATAATTCGCAATCCCCGCGGCTTACGTAATAAAGATACCGAGCCGTTTTAACGACACGCAATAAATCACGAAATATCGCACGCGCGTTCGCGAATCGTTTTAAAAAGAGGCAGCGGTCGCCCCCGATTACATATCGAAGTTCACGATGACGACGGATCGTTTCTCTTTTTTTTTTCCTTTTTCCTCGTCTCTCATATTGCGTCACGTGCGTCGCCCAAGTGTCGCGGCGGCTTTGCGATCGCGTGCGCGCGCGATGATGCGATTCCGAGCTCGATCAGTGATCGACAATACAAGTATAATATACAATAGGAGGAAGATGACGAGCCGCGACTGTGCTCGACTGATCGTCTCAGGTGCGTCGAAAGCTCCATGGAGAAATCGTTTAAAGCGGCGCGGTTACACACGTCAGTCTGCAGTTGCAGGTGGCGATTTAACGTCAAGGTCGCCACTTAATCGGCCAATATATGCGACATTCGAGTCCCCGGGTCTCCGATCTCCGGCCGGCGAGCCGCCTGAGTCGAAGATAACGCCCTGCGTTTCACGTCGTCTACATTTCTACGGCGCTGGCAATGATATCTACCTAAGGATGATTCGTCGAAATCGTTCTTATCACGCGACTTCCTCGTCCGCGGTCTTATCCGAAGGAAGATCCTATCGCGTGTTATCGTAACGGGAAGCATATGCCTGGATATTCCTGATACACGTACGAACACGGGGCTCTCCTCCTTCGTTCCAGAGATATCGATAATACAAGCGGGGACTGCTGCAGGCGTTTTAGGGACGTCATACATATCTGGAATATTTTCGATAGACCGCGTTAGTCTGCAGGCTCCGTCGGCTTCGAAAAGATGTACCTACGTCAAAACAAACACACGTCACTCTAGTCTCGTCGCATTCTTACGTAAAAGTATCTTAGACTCCTAACTAAAGGAAAATTCGTCAAGGCTGTTAAATGGTGATTTAAAGCGTACAAAAAATTATAGAATATTCTTTTAAATTTTCTTCTTCGTTTCTTATATAATTTTTATCTTATTCTTCGCATCGTTTCTCATGCGTGACTTCTTTTTCGCGCATATAATTTCGTGCGTGAGTTCTTAATTGGAATATTAATTGTCGACTGCAAAGAGTGAGAGAAGAGAAAAACTCATACTGGAGAATTAATAACATATTATATATATATAGTCGTATTCGCCTAGCAACCTGACTACGCCTTCATTCTGCTCTTCGTCATCAGAACGTGGTGCTCATTCTTCAACATGGATACAAATACTTATAGCCGGTTAACGTTAAACATAAACATTCAATGAAATGAATAAATGATACACGAGATCATATATATATACACGTTATCAAAGTGCGATATCGAAAGGAACACAAATAACGTTCTAACGAATGCAAGATAGGCAGATAAGAAAGCGTAACCGGAAAAGACGTGTGCTTTTCAGTTATCCTCACTGACTTTATTTTAAGCCTCGTCGTAAATTATCATATATCTTCCACCCACCGAGAGGAGACTCGAAACGTTTAAGTCGAATTTGCGCCATTATAGCGCAACAAGTGACTTCTCTCGACTCCTGATCTCCCTCAACAATTTGCGAGTCTATAATTGAATTCGATCCCAAATTCGTCATTTAATATCGCAAGGGTGACTCTAGCTCTTCTAGGATTTCTTCTTCCCCGTCGGCGCGTCGCATCTCTCTCGCGCGTCTTCTAAATTCTCCCGCGAGGACAATGTCAAGTATAAATCGAATCGTATCAAGGTGCCGTCGTACGAATCGGATCCAAGCCTCGCAGTCGAAAGGTCAAAGTAGACGTGCTTGTCGTGATTCCTCAACGCACACACGTACGCGGCCGGGGAGATCGATCGCCGTACGTCGCGGTGGCAGACGCGCTCGCGCGCACACATATACATATAGCGCGATATGTACATATATATACATGCAATCTAACGCCCGCTATAACGCCCGGTGGTAACCGGTATCGACACGAATGTATGTATGTACGTGGACACGGCGCGCGTGGTGGACGAGGGACAGCTGATTTTAGCACCGCTATTCCGCGCGCGCGCTCGCGCGCGTGACGCGTGCTCACCGCATGTTCTCTCTCCTTTGTCTCTCCCTCTCTGTTTCTCCAACAGGTGTATAAATACACCCCGCTTTTGACGGTTACTCCATTGAGCTCCCCTGGCGCGGATCCTCCGCAACGCGGTGGGCCGTAAGCCAGGGTTACGCAAGCGACGCGCCCCGTTGACCTCCTTCCTCGGGGGAGAATTGACCTTGCGATTTCCCGCTCTTGACGGGATAAGGAGGGCCCCCGCGCTGCAAGCTCTCGTCGCGAGCGAGCGAGCTGACCGCCCTGATGTTTGCTAAGAGTGCCGCGTCGCCGCGATCGCCGTGAACGCAGCCGATATTCGCGAGGGCGATCTCGCGCGACCTCGCGCGGTCACGTGCCCGCGATCGGCCGCGACTTATAAATTGACGACGATGGAATGACAGAAATTCTTGATTTAAGTTCTTTAAGGCTCGTCAATAAATAGCAAACAAGTATTAGATTAATCTAGTACGGTGTATGCAAATAAAATTTAATATATAACTGTCTTTTGTAATAATCTAATAAACAAATCTAATCAATTTCATTACGGTTCTCATATTACGTTTTAAATGACTAGAGAGGTCAATTAAACCTCTCGCTTCGGTAATTCTGCACAACATAATCTACGATATATACATAGTCTATCAAGAATTGCAATGCCCATATAATTGCTATCAATTTTTAAACGTTTTACTGATCTCGTTAATTGATACAGTCACAGAGCAGAACCTACGGAACTTCCTGTTACGCACAATCCGTTCCATTTTATCCGATCGACAAAATGTCCCCTTCGCGGGATACAAACTTGCGAATTTCTATCGAACGAAAGTTCTCGAACAATCGCGAATCTCTTTCATATTCCCGCGCGCGCAGCCGGGACCCGATCATTCCCGCCATTGGCATTCGTAATTTCGAACGTTTTCGATCGCGGCGAGCGATAGGTCGTCGGCGACCGGACGCGACGTCGCCGCGGCGCGAAACGCGGTGGTATTCGAACGGCGGAAGGTGACGCGAGCCGCCGCGATCGCACGCGACGACCGAGGCCGGCACGCGGCGCGTCGCCAGAGCGAATCGGCCGACCGTCGAGGGTGAAAGGTCGGCGGGCACCGTCGCGGAAGCCCCGACTTCGGCCCCGAGGTGTCGACGGCGATTCCCCGGTGCGGCAGGTCGGCGGCGACGCGGGCGTCGGCGGCGCGGCGCGGCGACGTCGCTCCGTCCGTATAGCTGCGCGTAGCGGCACACGTGACCTGCGCGGCTATTCTTAGGAGGCAGCAGGAGGCGGCGAGCGTACGCTGCCTCGGCCATTCGTCGTCCGGCGCGCGTCAGAGACACTTGGAGTACCGGGAGTCTCTCCTCTCTCTCTCATACACACACACTCCTTTACATTACCCGTGTCTCTCACCCATACACGCGCACCCAACCAACCCATCACGATGTCTGGACTCGCGGATCCCGTGGCGTTCGCCAAGGACTTCATCGCCGGCGGTGTGGCCGCGGCGATCTCCAAGACCACCGTCGCACCCATCGAGCGCGTCAAGTTGTTGCTGCAGGTACAGCACATCTCCAAGCAAATCGCCGAGGATCAGCGTTACAAGGGTAAATGCATAAATCCGATCTCTTTCTTTCTCCGGCTGCCCCTCTCTCTCCTGTCTCGCTCTTTCCGGATTCTTTCTCGGGGGGGGGGGACCTCGGTCGTCGCGGGGAAGCACCGGGCGCGTCACGCGCTTCCCCGGTGCCGCGACTCGTTCGCAAGGAACTCGCTTTCGGTTACCGTTAACTTGGCTACGCGGCGAAAACCAACGCGTGCACACAGTGGTAGCCCGTGGAACATGTGACAAGTACAAGTCAAGTATGCTTCGAACGTGCCATTGTTCCTCGGGGCGCGCGGCGTTTTTGGCGAGCCGCCTCAGCGCGGACCGCGTGCCGCGGCCGACGAGAGGACAGAAAGAAAAAGAAGACATGGCCGTTATGTAATGCAATGCCCCGTTGGTGCCCCCGCGCGCGGAACGCGGCCACGCGAGCGACGCGGAACGCGACGTGAACGATGTGCGCGCGCGCGCGCGCTCGCGGTTTCTCGCTCGCTCGATCGCGAGACGAATTTTCGCATTGCGTTTATGTAACGAAGGTCGGCCCGCAGTTTCGGCCGGTCTTACATAATAACTCCGGTCGCGGTGGCGGTCCGATCTCGCACGCGGCGGAAAGCCCGATTCTTCCAACGGTAACCCTCCGCGCGCGACGAGATCGATATTTCGTTGGAACGGCCAGCCGTACCCCGAGCCAGATGGCAGCGCGTGGCTTCGCCTCTCTTCCTCCCGCGGCCCGCCGAGACCCCGATCGATGACGGTGCGGTTCCAACATGGCCGTCCTTTCGTCCGGCGGCCACGAGACCGAATTCCTCTGTGCAGCCTCCTACTTCCACGCGTCACGAATTCCCTCCCCCCCCGTCGTTCCATTCACGGCCTCTCCTCACCGTTGATTCATCCGCGCGTTGACGCGCGAAGATGCGCGTTTATCGGGTCCATCTCCTCCCGTTCGTTCAAGCGCTTCAAAAAAAAAAAAAAAAAATGTCATTGCCCGCAACACCGCGAGAATTTTAATAGGTGCGTCCGACGACGGTCGGTCTCGTGCAGAGTCACGTTGCTCGCGACGAGGCGATAACGGAAGATATCTCGCAGCTTGTCATTTCGCTGTAATAATCAGTTTCAATTGCTATACACACATAATAAAAGTCTCTTAGATCGCAAAGATATATAGATTAGGGATCAAAGTTTGTCAGAGAAATTGATTGTATGTTGGACGATAATTGTAATTAGCGAGACAATTTCCCCTCTTTAAAAATGTTTATAAAACCATTTGATTGATATTCCCGTTCTAGAACGTTTTAAATTATCAACGTAGTATTTCTTGTGATTTTCTTATGTTCACATTATGGTTTCCAGATTGTATTTTGTTTCTTGTCACTAACAAAAATTATTGCCGAATATAATCTTTTATAAATCGATTTTTAATGTTATTTATGTACAAGATATTAAATTGTAATTATTTATATAATAAGTATGAGGGCTAACGAGCCTGACTCATTATACATGATTTTCAATCGTTGAGCAGGTTAAGTTTCTTTTTTAATTTGTAATTCTTTAGCTTTTTATAGTCAAAGCATACAATATGAAATGTTAAAGTAACGTAAATTGTTAAAATAAGGTATAAAACAGAAAATTACTAAAATAAATTATACACTGAGATAAGCGTTACATTTTTTTATACATTTGCATTGTACATTATTTTCCAGGTATGATCGATTGTTTCGTTCGTATCCCACGTGAACAAGGATTCCTCAGTTACTGGCGTGGTAATTTCGCCAACGTTATCAGATACTTCCCAACGCAAGCCTTGAACTTTGCCTTCAAGGACAAGTACAAGCAGGTTTTCCTTGGTGGTGTTGACAAGAACACACAGTTTATGCGTTATTTCCTTGGAAATCTCGCGTCTGGTGGTGCTGCCGGAGCCACATCTTTGTGCTTTGTCTACCCGCTCGACTTTGCCAGAACCAGGTAAATTACTTGGAGCATCTTATCCATGTGTCAATAATAGAAATTATTTTATCCAAACACTAATATGAATTTTTATTCATGCGCTAATAATGCATAACAGTAGAAATTATCATTTAATTAACAAGCAATTAGCAATTGCAATTAAATTTAATTTGTATTTGTGTATTCTGATTTATATTTTTGATTGTAAATTTAAGATATGTTTAAGATATATTTATTTGAGTAAGATATACGTATGTATATTATCGTCACGTTAATTTTGTATAAAATATACCTATATATAATGTATAAATTTAGAATTATTTGTAAATAATCTTATAAATACTCAAATTTACTCAATCCGATAATATCTAAGACTTTAATATGAGATATGTTTAAGATATACTTATTTGAGTAGATATACATATGTATATCACGTTAATTTTGTATAAAATATATAATATATAAAGTGTATAAATTTAGAATTATTTGTAAATAAATAATTTTATAAATACCGAAATCTACTCAATCCGATAATGTTTGAAACTTTAAAATTATCGTTGTTATATTTTTTCTTTATTCCGTTAGGTTGGCTGCTGATGTAGGCAAAGGTAGCGGTCAACGTGAGTTCACAGGCTTAGGCAATTGTTTGGGAAAAATCTTCAAATCGGACGGTCTCGTCGGTCTTTACCGCGGGTTCGGCGTATCAGTGCAGGGTATCATCATTTACCGTGCGTCTTACTTTGGTTTCTACGACACTGCCCGTGGTATGCTACCGGACCCCAAAAAGACGCCTTTCCTCGTATCGTGGGGTATCGCCCAGGTGAGAGAAGATGACTCCGCTATATTTCCCGCCTATATTGAATTTGTGCGTGGAGCTGCATTTTCACTTATTCGTTCCGAATCTGTTTACAGGTCGTAACCACTGTCGCGGGCATTATATCCTATCCCTTCGACACAGTACGTAGACGTATGATGATGCAGTCTGGCCGTTCCAAGAGTGACATCCTGTACAAAAACACTCTTCACTGCTGGTCCACCATTTACAAGTCGGAAGGTAGTAGTGCCTTCTTCAAGGGCGCGTTCTCCAACGTTCTCCGTGGTACAGGTGGTGCGCTCGTACTCGTGTTGTACGACGAAATCAAGAACCTCCTTTAAAACGCTAAAACGATCCTCGTCTCATTACTTTCACGATCATTGAACCATCGTCATTAATTATCCACGCACCATCCGATTTGATAGCGATTCCCACGTACCGACGGACAGAAGAGGGACTTTCTTGCTGTCGGGCGATATTAAATTAAGTAATTCAGGCTGAGGACGTTCGATGTAGCAGTTCGTAAAAGTGCATAAAACTCGGGCGCATAAAAAAAATTGTAAACGTAAAAAGTAAGGAGCAACAAGCATAGAAGAGAATCTGCTTTAACTTATTGCCGGATTCAGTATTTTTCCGCAGCGGTTGACATTACGTATTTTCGTATACCATTGTTGTAAAAACGTTGAAGAGGCAAGCGCAATCGCGTAGGTAATCGCGAACACCTGTTACCTGGATAACGTTCCACACACGCCACGTTGAACAAGTAGACCGGTCGGAATATCAAAGTACTTTGAAAGTAATAAATTGCCTGGAGATCCGAGTCAGCGCACGCGAAAACCATCGAGAGAGGAGGACGCGCGACGAAGTGTCATCACGGCGATGGCGGGGCGCGTAGCCTGGGCCGCCCCCCGCCCTTATTCTCGGCCCGTTGTAGATAATTCATAATTCGTAATTAATAAACCTATCATTGTAATGGTATCCGCCAGTCCGTTGATTTTTGATGGACGATAATTTAATTTCGCACTCCAGACGACCATATGTAAGATGAAAAGCGTTACTCAGAATGTATGCATCTAATCTGTTCATGTTAGGATGCATGCAGGGAAAGCAGCAAATCAATAAAAACGATATAAAATTTCATACATTCGGAAATTTTCTTTTCCCAAAACAGTAAAAAGAATGCCTATTCAAATTAAAAAAAAAGATTAAATCGATTTTATATGTAATAAATTTCATCGAATTGAATTTCAAAAATTTAATTATAAAATTAATAAAGATCGACAGAGATTTAACAATTTAAAGATTGTACAGTCGTGGACAGATCGGTTACGACACTATAAGTTTCAAAATATTTTACAAATATTTTACAAATGCGAACCATGATTGGTGTTATACTGTCTTTAGATTAAAGATAGTGCATCGTGGTTCGCATTTGCAAAATATTAGTTACCTATAAAATATATATCATGTACATTAAAAACCTATAAAAAAAAAGTGTCGGAATCTGTCCACTGTACATATTAAATATTTTTTGAAATTTAATATCTTTCCTCGATTATATGTAATATGATTTAAATACTATATTCAATATCACTAGTCCAGCATTTCTAAATTAATATTTTAATCGCACTGATATATTTTTCGTCTGAAAATGATTAAAAGCTTATGTGAATTTTGTATATTCTCTATCTTGACTTTGAAATGTATAAGACATTATATAAATAATACACATTCAACACGTCCATTTATTGTTATCCCAAAACATTCATTATTTGATTAGGAGAAGGGTACGTTTTCGACCGTTATTTATTTACTGACAATGATAAATATTTTTGGATTAAAAAAATTAATATAGATTATCTTTTTTTTTAATATGAAAAAGCTTTTTGGAATGTTCCACGTAAACCATGTTCCACGTGTACCCTTGACATAATCAGTACATATAATTAAGTTATATGTATACAAATTGGCAACATACAAATCGATTATACTAGTCTTACTGATATTTTCTTACAGTGACTGACATAACGAGTAAAAATTATTCTTATACTTTTGTACAAAAATTTGACAGCTGACGTTTCTCGAACGGGAATGATAGAAAAAAGGAATATGGGGCATGAACATTTGACCGCTTTATATACAGGTTCCAAGCAAAAGGATGTGGGTGGTTCTCTAATATATTATATATAGTTGTATCATACAGTTGTCCGATTGGAATCACCTGCGATTATGTCCAAGAGTCGACTGATGCCAGGCATGTCCAGTACAGTCCCAAGTATAGGCACTCTTCGTATGAAGTTTATCGCTACTGGTAGAAAACCACTGGAACAAAGATGTTTGCGATGAATTATCTCTCACACATGTATGGATTTGTTTAACCAGCGGATGTCGAGTCATTTGAGATCATCATACGACTTGTTCCATATGCAACAAGTGATGCCGCCGTTTCCTCATGTTTACTTCAACAACAGACTTTCTTCAGCAGATCACATTCGAATCGCCGTGCATGAGATCCCCTGCCCAAGGATAAAAAGTACACTCACCTAAAGAGCAATACAAAGCCGTAGGTCTCCAGGATCATTCCTACAATGGGCCAACCCATGAGCACTACGAAAACACCCCCGAGAAACGAGACACTCGCTTTCATCTTGTGCCTTTGAAAGAAGAAGTTTAACGTCCTCCATGGCCCGATGACACATGCGAGTCCCGCTATAAACAGAAGCTGCAAAGGGACAATTCCCGAGAGGTCAGTCAAACCGGGGTATGAGATGTCGCGTTGACGTGAATAAATAAACAGGGCCAGGGGCGCGTGATCCTTACATTTCCAATGGCGAGTAGACCCTTGTCGAAGAGCAGCAGTACGCCGAGGAACAGAAAGGAGATGCCAAATCCCGCCAGTCCCACTCCGATTTCTGGAACAAGATTCCCGCGGTAGAGATCAACGTGGTAGAGAAGGAAATTGATATTTCGGGAATAATATTCGCCGGTTTAACCCTCTACCCGGATTATAACACCCCTGGATAACCCGGTTACATGGAACACCCCGGTCATAACGACCGCTAATCCAGAAAAACACACGAGTTTCACTTTTTGAGGGGCTATCGCACTTTCGTTCCATCAGTCTTCCACTCCTGCGGTAAACAATCAAATAACGAAAAATATATATATATATATATCTGAAGTGACTTGAACCTTAGTGGTCCATAATGACCGATATTCCGGGCAGAGGGTTAAGGCAAAAGCATCCTGTCAATATCGATCGACGCGGGATCCTCGCTACACTCACTCTGCGTGTCTGTGATTTCGAACATTATTTACAAATTTGTCTGTTGTTTGGAAAAACGTGCCCCGATAGGGAACCTGGCGAGGTTTGATTTTGTTCCAATGAGAACTTTAACCTATATCCACGTCATTGGTTACGATGCGGCACGGGCCCGCTCCACTTGTTGTGTGTAAGAGAGTACATATGCGAGGCGAGCCTTCGTCAGCTCTTGCGCGAACGCCCTTTGCACGCGATTAAATTCATATTAGGCGGACGTTTTAATTTTCACATTCCGCTCGGCTGCCGGTGAAGCATATAAAATTGTTATTTTCAAAAAAAATTGACGAGGCGACAGGAATTGGAATTTGGTTCACTTCAAGCTTCGAAATATATATACTCGAGCGTCTTCTGGGAACGTCAAATCGGAATCGAACGTCCCGATTTCTCCCGATTAGTCCCGATTGCCTTATCGGTGCAACAGATACGTGCTGTGGGTATATAGGACATATATAGCATGCATCTATTTCTATCTAATCAATTTTTAATAATATATACGCGAGGCGCGCACGAGAAATCTTTATATTTCAATTGTTGAGCTTTGCACATAATCGTTGCAAAAGCGCAAATCAGCGAGTCTACTTCAATTTGCAAGTTCGATTGTAATTGTTAAAAGTTAATTAATATATGCACACGGTGTCTAAAGAAATTCAGTTGTATTGCGGGAGAGAAATATTTTAATCGCTTTGAATACCAATAATTAAGCTGAATCGACACTCTAAAAGGCTCAAAGTCGAGAAGTACTGTTTATATAAAAATATATGCAAAGTCAGAATAGTCTGATTACAAAATAAACCATATAAAAAATATATATATATTTAATAATTTATAATTTTAGAGAGGGAGATATAAAATAAATAAAACTGTCGAAATAATAAATTCTATTATGATGAGATATAAACAGCGAAAGTTCTATTTTTTAATGTACATACATACATTTATCTAGCAAACATTTTGAGAAATTTGAGAAACACGAATAAATCCAATGACGCAACTATATAATCACTGCGCAAATTTATGAGGCAGTAATAAATTTGCATTTTTAAAATATACCAGTACGTGCGTACTAAAACTCATCAGAAAGCAGTATATTACGTTCGAAAATGCACATACACTTTTTTCGCAGAAAATAAAAAACTGCATTTACCGTTGTAGATTTCGAAAAATTTAATTCTCGAATCAATTGCAGATTAACCAGCTGTAGCCATATACTTATAAATTATAAATAATAATTATTCAAGATTTACATTCGTTTTACACGGTAAAAAGTTTAAGGAATGGTTGAAGGGAAATTGGGTGGCCCAGAAGAGGCCCTCCTTCAACGTCGCTAGGAGAAAAACTCTCCACGATATTGGCATCACTGGCAACAAGTCGAGCTTATTTTAGAACACGAGAACGCAGCGCGCACGGATCGGAGTCACGAACGTTTCGCATAGTACTACGCAAACGTCGCAAACTGGAGCTGACGGTTCCTCGTGGCAGTCGTCGCGCCAGGAAGCCCGACCGAGCGGAACGATTTACGGGATATTTATGTGAGAACGCAATCGAGCGAAGATGGTGTCGGTGATGCAGCCGTACATGGTGAGTTCGATGTCCGATCGGATTCGTACGCGGCCACCGATAAACGGCCGTTGGACGCGACCAACGGGTCCCACGGCGGTTCCCACCACGGTTGCACGTAAACGCGATGCTACACGCATTCACGATCCCCTTTGCGATCTTGTAGGACATCGAGAGTTCCAGGAGCTACATCGACGAGTTATACTCCCCGGACGCGCAGAAATGCCTAGAGGCGATTATGTGAGTTCGAAAAAAAATTTTTTTCTTAACCTTATAGGATAATACTGGCCTAATGATTTTTTTCCCCCTTCGAATAAACTCCGACGATTGGGAGTTTCCGACAATCTTCTTTTTTTTCTACCCCTCCCCTCCCTCACAAGTTTACCTCCCGTTTTCTGATCGATAAAAAAGTACTATTGACGTTTCATGGATCTGGTCCCTCTTAGATGCCTCAAGAATTCGGTGATCGGCAGCAACAGGCAAAAGGGTTCGGTTATAGCTCAGGGTGTGGTGCCTCGACTCCTGCAACTCCTCGGGGACACATCTGGCACCATAGGCGATCGTATAAGGCTAGAGTCGGCTGTGACATTGGGTTCCCTAGCCAAGGGCACGGATCAGCATGTACTGGCGCTTATAGATCTAGGTGTAGTTCCTCTCCTCCTTCAAGTCTTACTCACCTCGCAGACCCCCGAGATCGTCGCGGACGGCAAGATAAAGGTACTGGATCTGTTGCACGAGGCCTGCCTGCGGTGCCTGCGCACGGTATTCCAGCACGCGGCGGCGCCGGTTCACTCGATCTATCAGGATCCCGCGTTGGTACCGCGGTTGTTGTCCCTAGCGAGCCGTTCGGTCACCAGTCAGGTCTGCGTCGCGACAATCTTGACTGCGGCATGTAAGGTAAAGAGAGGTCTGAAACTTTTGTAAGAACGCACCATGTCCGCGCGACGCAAGAGAGTGACTAATCCATGCGAATTGCTTGTCAGACGACGGAGGAGCAGAATGCCCTGTCAAAAGGCGGCGCGGTGGAAACGTTGGCGATGCAGCTGGACTCCCCCCTGTCCGACGTTCAGCTACCGGCTCTGGCCTGCTTAGCGAATATGTGCTATCAGAATCACATGGTCTCGGCGATGGTCGCGTCGACCAGCACGTCGAGCAGTACTGTCCACGGTAGATTGGTACCTGTCGCATTAGGCCAATTAATGGGACGCGAGAAGAGTTCGTTGATACAGCTTGAAGCGGCAAGATGTATCGCGTACATGCACAGGGCCGGTGCGTTACCGTCCACCGATCCGCGCGTAGTGTACCGCGCGTTACCCTGCCTCGTACGCTTGTGTCATCGGGACCGGCCGCCACGCGAGAGAATCGCCGCGGCCGAGACACTCGCGTATCTGACCGAGGTCGATACAGATCTACAGCGTTTAGCTTCCATTAGTAATCATTTGATTCCGACCCTGGCGGAGTTGCTGAGACCACATCCGCAAGTGAGCAGAAATTACATTAAATTACATTGAGTATCTACAAATTGTGGTAAAATCGACGAAAGATACTCCGTCGTCGTAGGTTGTGTTTATTAAAAATTGTACGTAATATATATATTTTTTTTCTTTACTCAGGTCCAGGATGCAACGCTGACGCAAGATATGCGACAAGCTGCGTTCAGGGCGTTCGCGTCCCTCGGAGCGAACGACGAAGATATCCGAAAGCGTATTATCGAAACGGAAAGTCTCATGGAACAAGTAGTCTCTGGTCTTCAAGATCCTGGTGGATCCCGCGTTCGTTTAGCCGCGGTTAGATGTTTGCACTCTCTCTCGAGGAGCGTGCAACAGCTTCGCACTACATTTCAGGATCATGCAGTGTGGAGGCCACTTATGCAGTTGTTACACGGAGCGGACAAGGGGTTGGAGGGTAAAATATGATAATACATTTACAATAAGCATTACAGAGACACGCTACAATAAACACTGAGGAACATGTATGTTGCATGCATGTATATTGCATGTAAGATACAAAAAGAAATACGTGTATTTAGCTTCAAATTTCAAATTAACGTCTTAATCAAAAAAGAGAAAAAAAAACGTGCAATATCGAAAAGAGGGTTATTAATGTACAATGTGAGTTATTCCTTTTTTATTCTATAAGACAAGAATAGACTAGCTGAATTAAAGTACACGCATCAAGAAAAGTTCGCAGCCTTGTGTTGGCCCATATTTCGCAAGAAAGATATTTAGATAACGATGGGAATGTAAATTTGAGAAACGGGGCGACTGTTTTTTCATGCGTGTAAACGAAAAAAAATGATGAATACATCCCTATTCTTTTCTCTCTGCATTGTAAGATTATTTTTCAAAAAGAAGAGCAAGAATAAAGAGATCAGTGCTTGTAATTAGCTGTTATTATTAGTATTCAATCGCCGGCTATATGAGTTTACTATTAACATTGTCATTATTGTACTATAGGTAGAGGCGAAGGTGAAGGTGATTTATTAACTGTTGCCTCGAGTACTTTATGTAATTTACTGTTGGAGTTTAGTCCGAGCAAAGAGCCGATTCTCGAGTCCGGCGGAGTAGAGTTGTTGTGTTCTCTCACTAAACGGCCCGAATCGGCACTCCGACTGAATGGCATTTGGGCCCTAATGAACGTGGCCTTTCAAGCGGAGCAGCGTGTAAAGTCGCAAATACTCTCGTGCTTGGGCACAGATCAGATCTTTCGTCTCTTGGCCGATCCTGAGTTAGGCGTCCTGATGAAAACGCTGGGCCTGTTGCGAAATTTGCTTTCCACTAAAGCTCACATAGATCGTATAATGGGCGAGCACGCCACGCATGTTATGCAAGCGGTCATTCTAGTACTGGAAGACCCGGAACACCCGGCGGACGTCAAGGAGCAGGCGCTTTGCATTTTAGCAAATGTGGCCGATGGTGACCGAGCTAGAGATCATATCATGGCTAATGACGACGTGCTTAAGAAACTCATGGATTACATGGTTCGTATAGTGTGTTTTTTTTTGTACAGTCATTACAAGTACTTCATTAATTGCTTACATTCCTAGACGATTAACTTCATTAATAGATAGGATAATAAAAGAGAGTTTTGGATTCTGAAAATTGTAAATCGCGTACTTTACAGACAACTATTTTTATCTACCGTAGTAAAAAATAACTGCTTTGTAATACCACAAGTTCCAAATGTGTGCTAATTCGATTAAGTATTTCATCAACATTTTTTCAAGTCCTATCTATTAATTTAATAATTGAACGTGACTATCGATTGTACGTCGACGTTTTACGTGTTACATTTTATTTAGATGCACAGCAACGTGAAGCTGCAAGTCGCTGCTATTTTTTGTGTATGCAACCTAGTCTGGAGAGAGGAACCCGGCGCCGCGCAGCGACAAGCGCGACTGCGGGAATTAGGAATTCATCGTATCTTGCAACAATTACGTCACACGAAAGACACCCAGCTGTTTGAGAAGTACGAAATATGAGCATTACATGCTAAATTATTGTCGTTCATCGTATCGCAAATTTTCTTGGTAGGTATAACAGCGGTCTCATTTGCCATTTCTGTTTCAGAGTCAAGACTGCCCTATCGCAATTCTACGAACCTTGAACTTGGAACGTATCGCCGTTGAAGATTAGGTTATGATTTCAAGTGTCTTTTTTATATTTGAAGTAAATTACGAGTTTAGCGTTAACACTGTGATCACCTCGGTTGACAATGTATAATCGAAAGTTACAGACAAGTTACGAACAAACTGATATTTCTGAGCCTATGCCTGTAATCTGTCTCTGTAGTATTTATTTAACTTAATAGGAAAAAAAGTAATATGGATTATACCAACATATGATTCGTTTACTCGAAGGAAATGTTTGATATATATATTATTTACAACATTGATTTACAAGCAGAGGCTTCAGATGTGGATTGTCATATGCAATAATAAAAAGAAATTAAAGGGATAAATGAAATCATGCAAAGAAATTGAAATAAATATAGAAAGTAAATACACTTAATTATACTTCGGTATACTTCCATACCTTTAGATATTATCCGTCGGAAATACAAAGAATTTCATAATAAATTTATATTGAAGATCTTGTAATATATATATATAGATATATATATTTGAAAGAAAAATATAACTAGCGCATTATGTTTTAATAAACATTACATTTTATATCTTTGGTATCTGTTTTTAGCTTATATGAAAAATTATGTAATTCAAACGATTTTTTTGATTCTTATGACGATTCCATTAAAAATAAATCTGGAATGTTAGATTTTAAAAGTTTACAAACTGGGTAATCACTGATTACAAACGTATATGACATGAAAATACTGTGAGCTACGCGCTCACCGTATCGCTCATTGGATGACAAACGATAGCTCGATCGATAGGTTCTCCTTATTGTTACAAATGTCAAGTGACAGGGGCGATACTATTGAAAATGCATTATGAATTAAGCAGAAGCATTACTATCACCGGAAAGATTCTCCATTGGATTGTTAGCCAATGGGTCCAATTCTGCGAATAAATCCAACCACGAGTTACCTTTCTGCTTTCCAGTCTTATTCTTTTTCTATCAAAAAAAAAAAATTATTGCGATATATTAATCGTGCGGCACATTACTTATTATTGAAACGCGGTTCGCGAGTACTCACTTTGTCGTCCGTGTTGCCAGCTGTACTCTTCTGTCCCATACCGAGCGCCGCATCTCCCAGACTCTGTTTCAGAATGTTCGGCGGCAGAAAAGTATCGTGCGATATGCCCTCCCAGTCATTGTTTGTGCACTGTTGCTTGTCGTTCAGGATTTCGTCGAGAAGCGCCGCGCTTTCGGAGGCCAATAAATTTAACGATTGTTGCTGTTGCGGCTCCGACGGCAGGGTGGACAAATCAGCCAAATTAAAATCGGTACTGCACTCCTCGAATATATCCAATACCGATTTCTGTTCCTCGGAGCTCTTGTCGAATACGATGTGATTAGTTTTCTCGGTTTTACTGGCCGATTGTTTAGTACTATTGGACGTATCTTTCTCGAGGATGAGGCTTCCGAAAAATTCCTCGAGACTTTTGTCGTTCTCTGTGTCGTTGGTACTGTGCACGATTCCGTTTCTCGAGGAATCTGTGCTCGTGTCCAAATGTATCAGCGTGTCTTTCGGCTCGGTCTCAATGTCCAAGAGCTTCTCATCTTTCTTACTTTTCTCCGACGTGCCTTCCGAATTTGAGGTAGCCTCTTGCGCCTCCTCAATGTCGTCATGATAGTCCATGTCGAAAAAGTGTAATCTGCAAAAATTGGCGTCAATTGAAAATTTGCAATCCGCAAAAATTAGTAGTCAATTGACGAAAATGACGACACGATTTATCCTCATTTTTGTAACTCACTTATCCTTGTCCTCTAAATCGTCGTCACCACCAGTTTCCTGCGCCAATTTACTGGAGGTTTCAGCCAGCTCACGCACAACCGTGAAGTCGTAGCGTTGATAGCCTTTGAAGCTGTTGGCTATTGTGGAGTACGCTTGTGCAGACTTCTTGGTGAAATTCAAGAGTGTGGTTTGGTACAAAACTAAGGCATGACTGAACATGTTACATCTTGCCGCCGCTAGCAAATCAACCTTTTGAAGACAGTCAAGAGCCAGATTGTCAAAAACTATTTTGCCCCTAAATTAATAACAGATACATAAGAAATTTCTCGTAATATTGTATGAATACGTAATTAAATCCAATTTATAAAAACGAGAACAAAAGTTTAAGTTAAGTTATTTAAACAAAAGATAATAATTTAAACAGAAAGAGACTGATCGAATTTGTGATTGAATTTTATATCCAAGATATAGAACTTACTGCTTGACACGCGCTTGAACTTTTTTATATTTTTCCAGTTGTTTGGACGTATCTGGATCTAAATCGTGAGAAATATTTTTCATCCATGACAGAGCAGCTCGGTACTCCGTACGGGCCTTTTCCATCGCTTGCACATTCTGTAATGTGTCTTCGATAGCTCTTTGCCTAAATGTTTCCACCTCTTGATACAATCGGCCCAGGGGAGCTCTCAATGCGAGCCTCTGCTGACCGGAGTAAGATAGGGATTTGCCAACCGCTGACATCATCTTGCCGGCGCGAGTTTTGTCTTGCTTCCCGGCATCTTTCAAGAAACGTCCCATTCCATTTTCCTCCTGGGCTAAATCTAAACAGTTTAAATTAAATCCGTTATCGCAAAATCTTGACGCAGTCAAATTTCATCTCAAAGAGAAAAATATCGCAACAAATATTATCTACGACAATCAGTACAATTATTTCATATTAGAAATTGTGTTAGAACGCACTGCATAATCTTTCTTGGTATTTATCAATAACCCTTTGTAAGTAGGAACAGGAATCTTGGATACTGCGGAACAATTCTAGCTTAGCGTCCAGCTCAGCATCCGAAGCGACTATACACTCGTCCTCCTTCTTCCCTAATTTCTGGGACAGAGCCTGCTTTCTCACCCAGAATTGGTATTGCATCTTTGTGATGGCGGAATCGTCATGCATAGACTTTTGAACCCAGCAATCAAAGGCATTCCCCGATACGCCCGGTGCACCTCTGTTACTGCATGCATGGTACAAAGAAGATTTATAAGTTTCTCGTTAAACGTGACACGGCGTGATTAAGTATAAGAGAGTTATACATGCAGAGACAAAAACAAAAGAATAAAATAGTACTCTCGCTGTTAATAAAAAAAAGTACGTCGAACAATCGTTAGAACAGATGCCCGATTTTACTGCTGTTAGATCATTAGTTATTCATAAAATTCTACTGATAATGCAAATACGTATTTCCTTCTCCCGACCGACAGGATAGAGAGACAGAGAGAGAAAACAATTTGCAAACTTGACAGATAATTTATCAGTCACACACAGGAAGGGAAAAGGAAACGGACTGTCCTTCTTTGACACAACGCGAGGAAGGCGGACCTAGGGAGGCTCGCGGAGTAATTAAATAATCAATTACACGCGGTATCTATTAATAAATGCGAGGAGATGCAAACTACCATATTGATTCAGTATAGCTGGCTTGGACTGGGAGCCGCGGTCGCGCGCCGTGTTCTCGACTCGAGTTCCGCCCTCGTCGTCGGCGCGGTCGACGGCTCGAGTCACGGACGACGACGGAATTCGGACCGTTCGGACGAGGCTGAGGAAAGGAACGGACGGGGGAGGAGATACTTACTAAGCATTCATAACGGAAGACCCGCTGGTACACACGCCACGGTGCGCGCGCGCGCGCGCGCGTGTGGGTTACACGTTAATGTTTACAAGCGCGGAGAGCGTATAGTAGAGAGAACTCGAGGAGACGGCCGACGTACACGACGTTTGTGCACGACCGCGTAATCACATAGTGCACGCGCGTATCCGTTCCACGCGCGCGATTGCATTCGCAGCGCGCCGCGTTCGGGGCGAGTCGGGGAACGGCGAAAATCGGGGGGTACGTTCTCCTACATGACAGCTCGGAGCAAGCCACCGCCACGGAGGGAGGCTAGCCCGACGTCGCGTCCGGCCGAGCGATCATCAGTCCACCAATGGACGGCGGAACGCTCGCGATTGGCTCGGCCGACGTTGCGATAAGAAAGAGGATAAATTTAATTGATCGTTATTATCAGTTATTATCGCGCGAAACTGACTCGACTGATCTGCGGCGAGCGATATCTCGTGAATATCTCATTTCAGGCGGTTCTATATACATATATATTGTTGCCTGCAGCAGAATTTCCAACTGCGTTAAATCAGTGTCCTCTGTTTTGATCTCTCTTTTCGTGTTGAGCAACGGAAAATTAATAATTCTCTATGCGTGTTAATGAAATATCGTCGCTGTTGCTCGACAAGTTGTAATTATGTTGATTAAAATAATTATCTAAATCTATATTATCCTTTAGACGCCAAAAGTCCAGTGTATAGTTTTCTAACTATCCGACTTGAGAGAAACTATAGCAAATCGCTCCTGTCGATAAAGAGTTGAAAGTATGCATCGACATCCAGTTTGCGACTACTTTGTTCAGATGGCATTGTAGATTTTTAAGTGTATTTTCGTAAGAAAGTTATTTTTATACCGCGCATTCAAAGCTGAAATTAGAATCGCTTGGAATATATTACGACGATCTTTAAATACTTAATACATTGTACTACATACGACATTTCCTTGCCAAATGTTTCCCGCCCGAGTTGAACCGCGTTAAAGAGAAATAAAAGTAAGTACTTGAAATAAAAATTATAAGAATTGCGAATTAATAAAAAATTAAAAATTAAAAATTAAAAATTCTAATTATTAAAATTGTCTGTTTTACACATAGCATTTAGTTCTATTCCTCATCGAGAGTCTAATCAAAAATCAATGTCAAAATCGAAGCTTATAACGAAAAATTTTATTCAAAATGATTCAACAAATTTCGCGTCTTCCGAATTTAATATATGCCCGAGGATGCGTTCCGTTTCGTGCGCGTAATGTATTAAATTGTTGTACACTAAATATATGTTAAACGAATACAAAAGAAACATATAATCATAATCCATGAAACGAAACGCATCTCGAGATTATTGCTGCTCCACGCAAACACGCTCGTCCTCGCGGTTGGAACGATCGCGCGCTTTCTAGAAAGTACGCGAACAATTATTCGCGTACGAAAACAATAAGTTACTTTTCGCAAATAAAACAAAGCTTTTATTTCATCGATGCGCCATCAGTTGCGAAACGAAACGCGATTCGCGCTGAGCTAATAATAGCTCTGTGAATCTTCTAAGCACATGCGACACTCTTCCAGCACCTTCGCCTACGTTCTCTCTTTTTCTCTCCGTCTCTCTCCCTCCCGCGCGCCGTGCACGCGCGTGCTCCTTGTCTCTCCCAGCGTCGCGTCGATGGAAACGTCTCGAGCGTTCTCGAGGACTCTCGAAATCGCGCCGTGATTGGTCATCCGCAGAAGCTTCTCGAAGCGGGCGATTCGGTGTATTAAAAGCGCGGCGCGCGGCCGGCGCGCCATCAGTTTCGCAACGAACGCGACAGAGTGCACGACTCACGAGTGCAACAAGTGACGCCGAGTGCCGCGAAGTGTTGTCCACTTGCGAATCATATCGACATACCAGAGAGGCTATATTATTATTGCTAGGTGAGTGTTTAAAGTAAATTGCGATGTAATTGTATCGCGTGGATTGTTCCTCCTCGGGGAATCTGTGCGGCAACAATTCATCGGAATCGATGCAAATTTCTGGACAGCCATCTTCGTGTTATTGTTTCTGTCTCTTTTCGTCCTGAACCTTAAGACGCAAATTCGTCATTTTTCGTTACGCGAAAGTACGAGGTTGCGCGACTCGGACGTGTAATGGTAGGGAAAAAAAGGAATCGTTTCCGAATGACGATTTTTGTCGTGAAATCCGAGACGGTCGTGTAGCTTCTGGGAGAAGTGATGACAATAATCAAGTATATTTTGCAAGAGATTAAAAAATTGTCGATGTCAAGGGAGCGTTTCAAAATTGATCACTTTGCCTTCTAGTAATTTCTTTTCTGCGACGTTTCATAGTACGCCGCGCAGATACGCGTTTCCGCAATCGATATTAAATTTGAGAAGTGTAATATTATACAGGTACACAGGATGTATATTTATTGCGTCGTTATTTCGCGAGAGCTCGCGTTTCGTGACTCGCTTGGACTCTCGAGTTCGACCGACTTCGATCGCTCGCGGCTAAAGTCAATCAAGTTGTTTTCTTTTTTTTTTTTGTATATATATATATATATTTCGATGCACATGGTAATATTATATCGCGTTGTCACGTTTCAGTGATTATCGTTTCCGAGGCAGCTAAAGGAGAAGAGATCAGGAATTGCTATAACGATGTCGAAGGCACCGGCAGTTGGAATCGACCTGGGCACCACGTATTCGTGCGTGGGTGTCTTCCAGCACGGGAAGGTCGAGATCATCGCCAATGACCAGGGTAACCGGACCACGCCGAGCTACGTGGCCTTCACCGACACCGAGAGGCTGATCGGTGACGCGGCGAAGAACCAGGTCGCCATGAATCCCAGCAACACCATCTTCGGTAAGTCCCCCGAGCTTTTCCACGTTCGAGACGTCACCGCTCTTTTGCGTCGCAGGTCACCTCGAAAGGTGACCTGATAAGAATCGAATAACTTATCTGTTGCGCTCCGTGTGTCTCTATTGATTTCGACTCTCTCCGGCGTTACTTTAATATTTAACTCGTTGAATTGTGTTTCAATATTAAATTGGATTGTTATTGTCCCTCACTTACTTATTGCACAAGGATTTGTTCGTTGAATCTCTATGAATTCTTTAAAAGCGTGAAGTTTAAATTTTTGAAAAGCCTATGCTGGAAATATTCGATGCAGGGAATATTCGATTAATAGCGAGATATTTTTACAAGCAATTTTGGCAAGATGTACAATGATATCGTTAATATTTTGCGGTTTCGCGGGATTTTTTTGTGGTAAATCCCACGACGGTGAAATCCTCGTGTTGATTTTCCTTTTGTTTAAGATGATGGATTGTGTACCTGCGTCGTTTCTAAATTATTCGACTTTGGGATCGATCGAACACGAAACTTTCCGTGCTCGGAAGTTGACTTATCTCAATCGCGTTTTTCACTGCAGTTTTACTTGCAGTGACCTTGCCAGTGACGCGCATGTCTATGTGTATATAGCATTCGCTCGTAATGTACGCAATTTCCTCCTTCCTCTGACCGCCTATCCTGTACATTGTAGCCGGGCGTTCTGACGTTTATACAACGTAGTTTTATGTAATCCTAATTTGTGTGCCAGCTACCACCGTGCCGTTTGGATTTACGTTGAATCGTAAATCAAAGTGACTCACGCGACATGTTTCGTTCAATGTCAAGTGCTTATTTAATCTTTATATAACAGACGAATATATATACGAATATTAACGTATGAAATGAAAATCCTTTATATATAATTTATATTAAATATAATATTAAAATATGTATAATGAAAATAGAAAAAAAAAATTTTTTAAATTTATATATAACAGATCTATAACATTTTATACGTGTATTATGTTCTATATATGTAATATAACGGTAATTATTTTACAAATTTTTTGCAATTTGTTAATTTTCACGATTACAATAAAATTTGCGGTAAGTAAATTATTCCATGATTTTTCCTTACATGAAATTATCTTTGTACTAAAATGCTGGCAAATATTGAACATTTCTGTGTTTTTCGGCTCGGCGACAATTCAACGTTTCGCAACCATTCCTTCGTAATCCTTCACAAACCACAGGATCTCCTCTCCATTTCATCGCACTATGCTTCAAAAAATTAAAAAAAATTTTTGAAGAACTAGACAACTTATACGAATCTCTTATCATTTTTTTCTAAAGACGCAAAGCGTTTGATCGGTCGTCGTTTCGACGATGCGACGGTGCAGAGCGACATGAAGCACTGGCCGTTCACGGTGGTCAACGATGGCAGCAAACCAAAGATCAAGGTGTCTTACAAGGGCGAGATGAAGACCTTCTTCCCCGAGGAGGTGTCCTCCATGGTCCTGACAAAGATGAAGGAGACGGCGGAAGCGTACCTGGGCAAAACTATAACAAACGCCGTTATCACCGTGCCGGCTTACTTCAATGACTCTCAGAGGCAGGCGACGAAGGATGCCGGCGCTATTGCTGGCCTGAACGTTCTCAGGATAATAAACGAGCCCACGGCCGCCGCGATAGCGTACGGTCTCGACAAGAAGGCAGCGGGCGAGAAGAACGTCCTGATCTTCGACTTGGGCGGTGGTACCTTCGACGTGTCGATCCTCACGATCGAGGACGGCATCTTCGAGGTGAAGTCCACGGCCGGCGACACACATCTCGGTGGCGAGGACTTCGACAACCGAATGGTGAATCACTTCGTGCAAGAATTCAAGAGGAAATACAAGAAGGACATGAGCAGCAACAAGAGAGCCGTGAGACGTCTGAGGACCGCTTGCGAGAGGGCGAAGAGAACGTTGAGCTCGTCGACGCAGGCGAGCATCGAGATCGACTCGTTGTTCGAGGGTATCGACTTCTACACGTCGATCACCAGGGCCAGGTTCGAGGAACTCTGCGCCGATCTGTTCCGCAGCACTCTCGAACCCGTGGAGAAGGCGCTCAGGGACGCGAAGATGGACAAGGCGCAAGTTCACAGCATCGTTCTAGTCGGTGGCTCCACCAGGATACCAAAGATTCAGAAGCTACTTCAAGATTTCTTCAACGGCAAGGAATTGAACAAGTCCATCAATCCGGACGAGGCCGTTGCTTACGGCGCGGCGGTCCAGGCGGCCATTCTACACGGCGACAAGTCCGAAGAGGTCCAAGATCTGCTTCTGCTCGACGTGACTCCGTTGTCGTTGGGTATCGAGACCGCCGGCGGCGTCATGACCACGTTGATCAAGAGAAACACGACGATACCAACGAAACAGACCCAGACGTTCACCACGTACTCCGACAATCAACCGGGAGTGCTTATCCAGGTCTACGAGGGGGAGAGAGCGATGACGAAGGATAACAACATCCTCGGCAAATTCGAGCTAACGGGAATACCTCCGGCACCGAGGGGTGTTCCGCAAATCGAAGTCACCTTCGATATCGACGCCAACGGTAAGTTGTGATGCTGCAAATATTGATATCTTCAAGTCGAAGATATTGTTCAATTAATTATTGTAAACGTAATAATTTAAATGACATTTTTCGTAACTCACGTTTTTATGTTTCGTCTTGCAGGCATATTGAACGTCTCTGCGATTGAGAAATCTACGGGCAAGGAAAATAAGATCACGATAACCAACGACAAGGGTCGCTTGTCGAAGGAGGAGATAGAGAGGATGGTGAACGAAGCCGAGAAATACCGATCGGAGGACGAGCAGCAGCGGGAGAGAATCTCCGCCAAGAACGCCCTCGAGGCGTACTGCTTCAACATGAAGAGCACGATGGAGGACGAGAAAATTAAGGATAAGATCGATGCGTCCGACAAGGAGAAAGTCCTTTCCAAGTGCAACGAAGTCATCTCCTGGTTGGACGCCAATCAATTGGCGGAGAAGGATGAATTCGCCGACAAGCAGAAGGAACTGGAGGCCATTTGCAATCCCATCGTCACGAAGCTGTATCAAAGTGGCGGAGCGCCTGGTGGTTTCCCCGGTGCTGGCGGAGCAGGACCCAACCCCGGTTCCGGTGGCGCCGGACCGACTATCGAGGAAGTCGATTAAATGGCGAACTCCTGTTTTTCTGTCCAACACTAAATTTCGAGTCATTTCATTTTGTTTCATTTAACATTTTGTCACTTGTTAACTTAAGTTATACATAGTTTATTTCAGTTCACTCTTTGTAAAAACAAGTTTTTTATTTTTTGAAGATTCTACGAGCTGTGTTAATGTGATTGTATTGTATTATAAGATAAGTTATGATAACTATTTATTAAAATTATATTTATTAAAATTTAATATTAAGTTAGATAAAAAACTGACGTCTTTTATCTCTCTTACCGCAATATCTCACTTAGCATTTTCCGTTAAATTGCGCGTCCGGATTTTCGGGTCGGTAAAACTGAACGAGGATTATTAGATAAGTAGTAATCACTCCGACGAACTGAAAAATAAATTTACTTTATTTAATTGCTCCGACGAAGTTATTATTCACATTAAATGAATTCGAAACGAATTTTACATAAATTTTAATGAAACAATTAAATTGTGCACTCACACCACTAAGCAGAGCATTGTTCATTTCAAAGAAATCGCAGGCCGTAAATGCTACTCGATGCTGCTGCAGCTGAATCGAGAAATCGTTGACCTCGTTTCTAACACAGTCCCGGTCCAGGTTTTTGCGCAAGAGATTTTCCATGACGACGTAGTTCAGATTGTAACTGCTACTCCGATTAGAATTTTGCTCGCCGTCCGGGCCTTCCAATGGCGGTGGCATCTCTATGCTTGATCGATTCCTCGCAGCGTTTAGCTTCGCACCAAGATTCGCAGGCTTGTAATTCAATACAATTGCGTATATAATTCTCCCAGTCCTGTCGGATTCTTGACGCGCGAACGTGCAAATCCAGCACATCAGACCGAATTGCGCGGCGTACAAAATCCAAAGGATATTATTTATCAGTATGAACGCGTAGTTCTTCTCCACGACGCCCATGTAGATCCTGAATAGCGTAGCCACGACCATGGTGAAGCAGTTCGCCGAGCAGAGGAGGAGATGAAAGCCGTGAATGTCGTTCACCATGATGACCAGATCGCAAATACCTGCGCAACAGAGTTCGATATCGATATTAAAAATATTTTTTATTTTTTGTCATACTTGGAAGTTACTTTCTGTAAAGATAGAAATGAGACAAATCTTTCTTGGCGTAGATAGAATTTTTTTAAGTGATCGAAAGGGTGATTTATCGAGCATAAGGATGTTTTCCGACGCGTGCATTCGGTCGAAACATTTTTTATTTTGTGTCTGGCACTTAGGAGTTACTTTGTGCGAAGCTAGAAATGGGACAAATCATTAAAAAAAAATCGCTCTAGAAATGTTCCAAACTTTAATCAGTTATTTTAAATTACATCTCGAGAGCTCTACATGTGGACACTATCGGGTTAACAATGCAAAAGATAATATTGCAATTTCGCATTGACTTACCGGTGTGCAATTCTCTGATGCGTCTAATCTTGAGCGCGATCCATGGCGCGCCGAATAGCTCGTCCAACTGGCCGAGCAATTCGTTTATCGTTTGGAATCTGTGATACAGCACGTAGACGACAACGTCGAAGACGAAGCTGTTGATCAACGACTGGGCTATCGTGTAGTACAGCAGCAAATCGGACGCGAAGATGTCCTCGGGACGCGTGAAGTAGTAATACAGGGCGTGCACGATCAGGGACAAAGGGCCGCAAGCGAGCGTCGCGAGGATCGCCAGCGTCTCCACGGTTTTCACGGGCCGGTCGTTCACCGGGGTCTCCCTTCTGATCTTCTGGTCCAACTCTTTCATCCTGTCCATCAGCTCCGGCCACTTGTCGTACTGCCCGATCCCGTGATAAACGTAGTAATACGCCGACACGTAGCACATCACCTTGTTCATGTAGTACATGATCTTGAATATGTCGCTCTTGAAGACGTTGCCGAAGGTGAAGAAATCTATCGCGCCGTACGCCACGATAACGGAGCACACGGCCAGGTGGACGATACGTAGGATTACCGTGACGGCCTTGGGACACTTTCGCGGACGTGCAACGCCGACGCCCAGGAGCCAGGATGTGTACGATATCGGGCGTAAGCTGTGCTCTATCGAGGGCGAGTTGTCCTCCACTTGCACACGGATATCCTCCTCCATCTTCGCCTCGTTCCCTTCTCGCTAATCGCGAGACGCGTTTCGCAAGCGAGTATGGCTGCGAATGGATTACATTAGAGCTCCTCGCGATACAGAATATTTTGAAGAAAGAACAGCGAGTTTTTGTTTTTTTGTAGTACGAGACTGTAATGTTATGCTCCTGAATTTCACGTAGAATAAAAAGGACGATGTGTATTGCTTCTGCAACATTAATGAAGTTGAGTTTGCGTGCGGCCCTTCATAAGTGGTTTTAGCGAATTAAATGAATCTCCATGGGCGAAAAGAGAGCAACGGCGCATTATTAATGATGCACGAAGCTTTATGTAATGAAATCTTACGTTAATTTTTTGAGCCTCTCTGCTCTTCCCCAGCAACGTTTTTTTAACCGGAGAAGAAATAATCACGCATCTACATATGTGCTTATATCGAAAAACGAGCTTTATTTGGCCCAACGACTATATTACAATCTTATGGTACAGTAAACATTTAAAATCGGGATAAAACGATAACGTTGTACATCGACTTTTTGTAAATCAGGCGGCAAGTCGAGTATTGAGTATCTCGGAGAAATGCGGGCTGTGTTATGTGAGATATAAGTTCATATCTTCTCCTCCATCTCTTGCCTTATTGATAATATTATCGATCGACTGCGACCAAGCCTAATAACCAGGTGCGATCGTTGTCGAACACAATACGTATAAGATAATCTTACTTCTGTGTCACTGATGTGTATGTGTGTACATGAATTTTGCGTGTAATACATATGTATGCCTATGCAGCGTTCACGTTATGCGGCGTTTAAGAACATCCTTCAACGCTTTTTGTTCATGTTCTTTTTTTTTCATTTATTATTTACTCGGGAAAAGGCAGCGTAAATTACCCGAACACGAGAATGTTGATATACGTTTTGCTATAATAGATTTACGCCTCTCTGACGCGCGTCTCCGCGTTTTCCGTAAATCTTTATTACGAACGTGTGATCGCGCGTGTATACATGATATATAACGTCTCTTAATGATTTTTATATTATTTTACACTTTACGCGTTTTACACTTTACGCGAGTCTAGTGACCAAAGATTGCATTTGGAAGGCTCGTGATTACGATGAAATGCATTGATCGATTAATGTTAACTTACGATTAAATGCCTGCAAACGATTGTGGAATATGACGGTAAACGGCAATGGTAAAGATCTCGCAAGTTCCCTCGAGTCGCCATTCGAATTTTTAGACATCGTGAGATATTTTGGAAATTAAATTTTCTCAGCAGTTTCATCTAAAAATGCAACATGTGTTACGGAAATATGTGTGTATTTGCGTGTGTGCTCCAATTAATTTAATCAATTTTCAAGTAATAATTTCAAATAATGATTTTAAAATATAAATTTACGTATAATCGAAGTCTTCATTTGCATCAATTAAAATTTATAAAAGAGAGGTGATGGTGATTTTTTTGCAACAAATTTTTCTACTATATATATATATATATGTATTGTAATATCTACGTATAGATATTTTGCTGCATTTGTCTAAAGGTATAAAAGGTATCGCGCTGTGTATACATATTTGACGAATGAATAAGTCATCCTTTTTGGTCATGCCTAAAAACAAGTCACAGGGAGTGTTTGCATTTGGGAGGGTAAAAAAAAATTATTGATATTATACGCCGTCCCAATTAGCAAAGCGAAGTAACTGCAATAGCAGCAATGAGGCGTAATTCTCGTGGTTTTTACAATCGCATTTTGTTGTCCGGACAAGGGGGATTATGTCTCGGTTTCGGTTTACGTTAAGGATGTTGAAATATGTTTAGCTTCGACCTCCACTCGAGATTGTCCCTCCAATAGCTTTTCTACTGTGCCGTGATTTTTTTTTAATGAGAAGTTTAATACGATGCAATGATGTCGTCTGATCGAAGTCGAACGGAATAGTGCCTTAAGATCTGCTGATATGTAATCGCACTCCGATGAACAATTTCACGAGTGAGTTTGACTTAAAGAATAAATAATCGTATGACGCTTTAATTTGTAATTATTGAACAGATGTATTGTCATCGAAATGAGAGACTCGAAATTTTTACGTAATAATGCAATTTACCTTGATGAACTTGAATAATCTTTATTGTACTCTGTGAATGAAGTACGATTATATTCATATCATGATAATTATAAAAAAAGCGTTTTACAATGCATTTTTTTAATAGTAATATTGTCAAGCGAATCAATGCTTTTGTCATATGATTTCTGATATGCAATTATATATATATCGATATATAGATTATATGTGAATTAAATCATTTTAATCGAAATAATTGATATCGGATATTTTTGTTGTAAATTAACATCATTTATTTTTGACATAGTTGATCTTTAAAAGCAGTCCCTGCTGAGATTTATAAGATCATACTTTTGCATAATTAAAAATTTTTTGATATCAAATAAATTCATTTATTTAGCGAATATTTAAGATTTCTCAGTTCAATTACTTCAAAGCATTGAAACGCTCATTTCTCAGTTTATTTTGGATAAATATCCTGTCATCAACTTCGATTTCTTGCACATTAAGCGTAAATTTTTCTCTCGCACTTACATGGATATAAGCACTTTCAATATTTTTGCCTGTATCTATTGAGACATTCGAAAGCGATTCGTTATTTTATCATTGCGCTGATCGTGTTGCTTAATTATGCCATTAGACCCTGCTTTTTTTCCAACTGCATTCGTAAATTCTTATCTGTGCAAGTACCAAGTAAAAATATGTTATTTCGTCAAAATTCGTTAAGTACACTTGTGCCCAAGTACATTCATCCAGAAAGTGCCTTGCATCTTTATTAATATTTCATTCGTATTATAAAGTCAGCATCGATTTTCAATACCTATTACACGCTACGCAAAAGAAAATGATAAATTAAAAATTCCGTAATTACAATACGTATTAAATTAAATTAATTGGACTAAATATACATTGAGGATATTATTCTGAACTTGCGCTTGCATAAAAATTGTAGTATTTTAAATTAAAGAAATAATTTATAATTCTAAATTTGCACTTTCATTTCTCAAAATAAATTAAAAATACAGATACAGAGAGAAAGAGACAGAGATAGATAGATAGATAGATAGATAGAGAGGGAGAGAGAGAGAAAGTTATAAAATTGCAAATCGTGATATTTCATACAATTGTTGTCTGGGAAAAGAGATATTTTTCATGTTAATGACTTCTATATACCGCGTAATGTCATATGAGCTGACTTTTTAACGCGGGCGAAATACGAATTTTGCTTATTCTCGATATTTATGCATTTATCTCTATTGATTTGAATTTCGTATTTTATCGCAAGTATGCCCCCGCGTTTTTTTTTGCCTTCGATCTTGACGTGGCTGATAGTTCTTGCAAATACAATAAAAAGGTCGTTAATAAATCGAGAGTCCGCTTCGACATTATACTTGATACGTCGTTATACTTGAGACGAAGAGACTACACTTGAAAAATGTCATCGGAAGCCCGTGGTGCAACGCTCGTGCCGAAAATGGTCGCTGGCGTTGCCATAGGCGCGGTCTCGCCGTTGGAAGTGGTTATCGCCGTTGTTAACGTCGCTGTCGTCGTCGTCATCATCGTCGTCATGGTTGTCGTTATTGGGATGATGTTTGACACGTCTGATGTCGTCGGTACCTGCTGCAAATGTAATCAATCCTTGCCTAAAGCTCGGATACACGGCAATCGCAGTTTAATTTTAAAAATTATCTGCTTTATATTAATTATGTCAAATACAATGTATCCGTGTTTTTGATGCGACACACTTTTCAAAAATAATTTGTACGTAATGATAAATTTGAAGTCTGAAATTTAATGGCAGAAGTTTAATGATGCCGCAACATGCGATGGTTGTCGGATATAACGTCGCAAGTCTTAAACATGAGTTCGACAGTAATGGAACTTATTCTCGATACGTCTCAACGTTGAAGCACCACCTGATGATGATAGACGATGATAGATGTTGGATCCCGAGAGAGATCGGAGTTGACTTACCTCGTTGTAAAAGGCTTCCTTCCCCTCTTCGACCGAAGGGAGCAACTCGTCCGTGGAATGGGGAGTCCTAGGACTGGGTGTCGGTACCACCTGTTGCTGCTGCTGCTGCTGCTGCAGCTGCAGTTGCTCCCGCTGCTTCGACAGCCGGAGCTCCTGAACCGCATGGCGCTGCTCCTTGTCGTTCCTCTCCTTCTCGAGTCGACGCGCGCTGTAGCTACGGGACGAGGACGTCGAACTGTGTACCGACGCTAAGCTAGGACGGCGAGAACCTACGCGAGAAGAAGAACCACATCGTAGGGACATCAGCGTATCCTCTAACAGCTCTACTTTCTATGCTAGAAGAAGTATAACGTTGGAAAAGGAAGCAAAAGAATCCTATACTAGATAATCTCTAATATGAGCTATCTATAAGACTGTAATATTTCTAACAATAAGTGCAAAACTGTAATAATACGTTCTTGCGATACCTTCAACGCGATAAATATTCGATGAAGCGGTGGGAGAGGGAGCTTGCGAAGAAATGTCGTGCTACAAATTAAATAAACGGGAACGTGAATGAGCATACGAGAAAGGGAGTAAAATAACAGTGCATTCTTAAGGAAAGTAAATAGTAACAGTAGAGATGATAAATAATAATAAAGATAAATTAGTTATTAAAGATACGTCTAGACACGGTCTATTCTTGATATTTTTTAAAAGAACCTAGATACATGCTAATCTTATTTTTTTTTAATCACTAGACTTGTCTATGAAGTGTTTCTGTTGTAATAGTGTATTTAACGACATAATTCTGTACGTAATATATTTTATAAAAATGAAAATTCGTGCAGGTCGTTCAAGTTGAACGCAGAAAAACGACATTTATGCAGATATTAAAAATATTCAATTGAAAAGTTAACAGAGCATTGGAGTAATTTACGAAATAATAAAAAGAAATTTTATAAGAATTTCTTGCATATTACGAGTATGTATTATTATATTTTACTGAAATTAAAAAAAAAGACATAAGTTCATTGATAGGAGCGGTACTGAAACGCCTGTAAGTATGTGACACGTATGAAATGATCGCAGTCTTTATCGAGATGAGTTTTCACGATGATATATACATATATGAAAAGCTTCAAGTTTTTAAAAAATATATAAGCTGGCAAAGCTAACTATTCTAAACATTATTATACATATTTTAGTGTATAGAGATTCAGTTTTTCGGTAAAAAAAAAACTCAAAAAGCTTATCGACTGATTAAACATTTGCTCTTTTATGATTGTTATATTTTATTAAAGTATTTTCTATCTTCATGAATTATAAAACATCTACCAAGAAACTGATCCCTGAATTATTGACGTATTGTTGACGCGATCGTACAGATACGTGTGTGTAAATGTGCGTGTGCAGCGAGCTAGCTAGTGCGTAAGGATTTCGTGTCTCTCTCTACGTCTTACCAGAAAAGATTCGCTTGTAAACGAGCAACGAAATCGGCCGCTGCTATCTTGCTATCTCGTAACACACTTGTGATGCATTTTATTCGCAATTTCATGTTTCTCTCTTTATAAATGCAGACTTGCTGTCTGCACGATCTTTTTGAGATATTTTATACATATGTATGACACATCTCAATTCATTAATTATTTTATCTTAAGACGTTGGCAACCGAGGAATACTTTAATTTCTGAGTTTCAGGACGAAAAAACGTCATGCGAATCGTACTAAATATATAGTACATATAAATTCTCATTAATTTCATTTTATTGTCCTTACAATCGTGTATGTACGACTGGCAACGAAATAACATTTATGATACAGCGATGTAAGAACAGTAAATGCAATTAATACGAATAGTTAATAATTGTATCCAAAAAGCTGTAAAGTTTTTCTTTCGTATTCACGTATATAATATTACCGTATAGGATGATCGTTAAATTTGTCCAGCGAGTAAAACGCGTCATGGACATACCAAGACGAGATTATCAAGAGCCGGGATTTCGGATGAAACACACGGATATCTAAAACAGCCATCGACAACAGCTAGTCACCATGACCATGTAACAGCAACAGCGACAATGATATGATTTGCCACGAAGCATCATTTGCTACCGCCACATCACCAGTCGTCATCATAAATAATCTTCCTTTTTCGCAATTACATCACCGTTGCCAGCACAAGAAGCGAGTTAACGAACATAGAGGAAGTGTAATAGATAAATGGAGTATATGTGTGGAAAGAGAGAGAGAGAGAGAGAGAGAGAGAGAGGGAGGGAGGGAGGGAGGGAGAGGGAGAGGAAAAGGCAAAAGAATGAGAGAGCTGGATAACAAATAGTTACACATAGTGACGGCGAGAAGAATCTATCATTGCCACAGGATAACACTTGTGTATGAATGAACACACACAGCGATAATGATACCGATAACAATGTTTACTCGACGACGACAGGTCGCGTATATTCTTTGTGTTCATGTTTATGTGTCACTTACACGGACCGCGCGTAAATTTGCAAATCGAATTTCACGGTTATCCAATAATGTAGATCGATAGGCAAGTAGGGAGACGGAGCGAACGTCAAAGAGATGATATGGAAACGTATTCATACGTATACGATAGGAGGTGTGAGACACCCAGAGAGCAATAGAGAGACAGAAAGAGAAAGAGAGAAAGAAAGAGACAGAGACGAGAGATCGTCTACCGGGGCCGTCGGTCGATCCCTCGGCCACGTCACTAAGGGTACGTCGGTGCTTGTTGCCGTCCTTGGTCGCCTGCAGGTGACACGATATAAGCAAGATAGCGGCGGCCCGTGCCGCACCTGCTCTGGACGCCGGTACCAGGGGTCCACGGCTGCCACCGCTGCTGGGCCTCCTGGTGAACGCGCAGCTGAGAGGTCCGGCGCTACCGCTCCGCTGGCTCGATCGCGATCCAGGCCGTCCGTGCAGCGTCAGCGGTATGCCTGCGAAAATTTATTTTCGGGGGGGAATTATTTTTGCATACGGAGACGCGATTCGCGCCTTTCGGACGACGATTCGTCGGCCCTTCGTTATAGCTCTCTGATCGGACTCTCGCGGACGTGATGGACGTTTCGTTTGACCTTTCAAACGAGATACCCCGACAAGCCGTCCGTCCGACTTTTTTGAACGAGATATTTCTGATTCCTGCTCGTTTACTACGTCGGGTATACGTTACGTATGCAACCGATACAACAATATATTGCTTGGCGTGATTCAATATTCTTCGATATCAAGCACGGTTATGTAAGCAAAGAATAAAATTGCAGAAATCATTTTTGTTCAAAACAAAAATAAGAATTGAGACGGATGGTTCGCGTAGTTGATATCTCGATCCCTTATGATATTATTTAGAGACTATCTTTGTTAAAAGAACTCGTGCTCCATATGAAAGAATTGCTCTTTTTACTGTATTATTTTTAGATGGGAGGATATATATAACTTTTCCTGCGCGAGAGAATGCAGAGGGCTTTGTTGCTATTTTTTGAAATTCTCTTACAATTTCGTTTCCTTGCTACGTCTGGTTTTCAGGTATACAATAGTTCGATGTATGTGACGTCGTAAGTAACGAAGTGAGACGAGAATAGATACCTCTCTTTGGAATATACTATGCACCGTATCGATATATAGATATCTTCTATTGATTTCGCAGAAGCGAAAGTAGGTTTTCCACGAAGGGGAAGGATTATTATTGTCGAATTTGCGCATGTTTGATGCGAGGGCGTGTTAAATAGTGCAGTTTTAGAAAAATTATGAAATCGTATTTTACCCAAAATTGTAAATTATAATTTTCTTCTGTATAATCATAAATCGTAATCTATTATTTTTTTTAATATAAAAATATTATATTATGAATTTATGAGAGAGAGAGATATATACTTTTAATTCCATAATGATGTACGGTCTCATAAACTAATCCCGGCTTTTTCTAGTCAGAATAAATTTTTTTTATTTGAAAGAGAAGATTGAAATATATTATGCAAGATTATAAAAATAGTATATCCTTTAAATAAAAAAATAATTGATCACGCGAATTATATTATAATACAGACATTACGTGCTTTAATTTCCTTTATTAAAAAAAAATGAAGCTTGAACCATCTTAATGTATATGTTATTGATCTTAACAAATAATTTGTTTAAAAAGGAAATTTTCAGAAGATAGATTATTTGCGATTAACGTGTCTCTTTAGAGCTAACATTATTTTTCGTGATTGCGACAACTATAAATTCTCTGATCCACGAGACCTTTCCCTCCCGCAGTGAGGTGTCGGGATTAATTGGTCATTACTTACCCGTATCACTGGAAAACAGCATGGGTGGCGCATGATTGGCATTGGCGTAATGCCGCGGCCTTGAATATCTCGCCCGGCTGAATAGTTTGAGCACGAAGCATATCATCGCCGTAAAGATGGCTATCCCCGATGCTATGAAGAGTAGGGTCGGAAGGTCCGTAGTTATCAGCACCAGATCTATCGGGTCAGATTACGGCAAATTAAAGGAGGACGCGGCACGATGACTCGTCGCGGATCGATATCAAAATATATTTCCTCCGCCAACCGCGCGAAATTTAATTCAACGTTTGCAGTAATTAGCCCAATGTAAAACCGATAAATGTTAGATAATTTTATTTATACATTAAAATAAATGATAGAAATTAATATTTGAGGGGCGACGGAATTTTAATAAGATTGTTTCAGTAATAAAGATATCGTAATCGAATTATGAGAATCTGACAGAAATCTAGAATAAGTGTGAAGTATCATGGATAAAATAGCATACCCTCCGCGCAGAAAACCTTCTTGTTAGGCCTAGACAAAGCAACCCTGTGATATCCCTCCTCGCAATCGCATACCGCATTATGTTGAACCTGCGTGCACGTCGAATGTTGATCCGCAAAAGTGCACGTCGCACGATAGAAGCACTGCTCTCCGAGCTTTTTGGCTGAAAGCAAGAATCGATAGAACTTACTTATTGAGGAACGTATCTTTTATTCAATAGGAATTTAATCAAAGTCCCATCTACTTGAATATATGATCGCATTCGATCTTTTCTGTCGACAAAAACTTGTTCCCCCAATTCGGAAAGTTTTATGTCTCTATACTGCGTCGTAAAATGTCTGTCATGATGTCTGTGTTAATTTAATATATCTGCCATGTTGTCTATGTAATTTAATATGATGTCTATGTCGTTTTTAAATCTTTTGCATTTTTATCATAATATTAGATAAAAACGTTTAACCCGCGTATCGTAGTTTCAGAAATTCATTTACGGTTCTCGCGCGCGCTTTGCGTTCGTTGTGTAAAATAAACGAGTGCACAAAGTCTTTTCATGCCGCCGGACTTCATTCAGGGCTATCAGGAGCGCGCGAACATTTATTTTCACCGACCGTTACCATGGAAGTTATGATATCGGAACGACCTACTTGTTAGGCATGAGGGTAACTAGTCTGGCTAGCTTTTACGTACGTTTGGCACATCCCTTGGTAGGCCCGAGACGAACGGGGTAGAACTTTTCGCACTCGCAGAGGCCAGTGATTGAATCACAGAACACGTGCTGCAGCTCGGAATTGCACGAGGACGCGATGTCGCAAGGCGAGCCCAAGTACCGTCCCTTTTCTGCAAAAAGAGTCACATGAATATTTAAACTTCCGCTTTATGTAAATATCATTAAATGGTATTTCGATAGACAGAGAATAATAATTTCTCTGATAGCTCTTTTGATATATATACGGTTAAAATAATTAAAAAAATAAATAAATAAATTTTACATTTTACCGAGAATTTTACATTTGTTAATTTTTCTTGCCTGAATATGGGCTAAAATTATTATGACTTATACTTCCTACAATATTATTTTAAATATTATTTTTAAAGCGTTGACATAAATTTTTTTTATGGAGAAAAAATAATCTTTTATAGTATATGTTAATGACAAATTTAATTGCTTTCTATTTAGAAGCATTTAAATATTTCTCTGTTGACATCTGCCAACGATAATTTTGTTGATATCTGTCATTAATAATTTTGTTGCAATAATACAAGTAAAATGTGAATTTCGAAACAACGCAAACGCTTCTAAGTTCTGCAATTTATTAATTCAATTGTAGACTTCAGATACATCTGTTTGGCAATGCGCCAACTTATTTGTTATGAGTTCACTGCCAAGCTATTGTAACAGTATCGTACTATATCCCTCTGTCGGTTTCGCAGCAGTAGGTCAGGCGATAATTGCTAACTCCCTTTGGCATGCTTTCAAACTGCAATGTGCGGCAATGCAGCGATAATGTGCGAACAGTCATAAATTTCCTAATCGAATATTCCCTGAAACGCAGGCTGTTATATTCTTTGTATGCCTTAAATTAAAGATAAATAAAAAATTTTCTTATTATAAATTATATATTTACTGACAAAGAAAATTAATGAGATTAATTTTTTATTATAAATTAATATACCATGAATAAGCCGTAAAGTTTTTTCTTGAGTGTACTCCCATATTTTTAGTTTGTTAAAATTATTTTATATTCTAATAATAATATATTATATGTTATTTATTTACGTTTGAAATATATAGATATCTCTATTTGTAGAGGCTTAAGAGACGCGCTTCTTGCCGGGCTATATTATTCGGATCAACGCATAAATCGTTTATTTAATGACAGCGACAGTCGTGCGTGATAAATGCACTTCGTGTCATTTAGCGGCGCCACGGACGCGTATGCAAATGCAGAGATTTCAATATTACCGTGCTCATTGTCTTGCGGATAATAGCCGTCCGTGCAGCACACAGTTCGTGCGCCGTTTCGCGACGATCGCGCGATCCTTCGGTTTTACAGTTGAAAAATGCGCGGCCTCGACGGGATTTCTTTAGGCCGCATTTAATTTCATACTGATTAAAGTTCATTGCACGTACGCGTTACCGCTGCGTCGCGTGCGCCTTATCGCTCTCTCTCATCGAGCGAAAATTTAGATTCGCGTGATTTACGGGGAGTTCAACGAAAAGTTTTAATAACGTCTTGATGAATTAGCACGCGTGCAGCTGTATTACGTATAATTAAGAAATTATGTGTTTCAGTCATTAAAATTATCTTGGATCACATTGATTAATTAAATAGAGAACCATATAGAAAGTTCCAAAAAGCATGTCAAGAGAATCAAGTGAAGAGATATTTTAATAGTCAATAAACATACTTATACCGCTATTGCTACGTTATTATTCGCGTGTAAAAATTTATTTCTAATATCGAGCAGCTTACATCTTTTAATTTGAAAATTACGTAAGTTTGAAACGATATAAGGTTGATGCTCTCTCTCGTGTCTTTTTGTCATTTGTCAATTTTTATATTGTGACTGACTGTACGCGGCTAAGTTTTGCTCCTCTTGCTAATCCGTTTCGTTCGATTGCATCTTTCTAGTCGAGAAGATGCGCACCATGGATGAAAAGAGCACAAAATGTATAAACGCCAACAAATGCGCTATCCTTTTTGTTAAGCTTTATCCTCGCGCTGAGCTTCGCTTTCGAAAGAGGATGAACGTAGTAGGCACAATGTGCAGCTCTGAACTGACACACGCGGGCCTAGAGAACTGAGCTTGCAGCATCCATTAAAATCAATACCGGCGGCATGCTTGGCGCGAAAATCAAGAAGAACGCGTTTCCTTCGCGATTATATTGAAGCGTGATTATAGCGCGTGCGCTAGGACCAATCGCTGGAGGCACTTATTTCCGCCTCCTTTAAAACGTAAGAATAGCGTGTTAGGTGTTTTAATACAAAATTGGAAAGAGATAAACGTAAGAGGAGCAAAACGTGATGGACGCGCGTCACGCGATAAAACTTGAGGTCTTTATCGATGCGAAAGAAAACGTGCACCCATATGGAATTTAACAAGGATTCAAATTTTACGTGAATAAAGCGTTAATTAATATTTTTACAAGTAGAACATTTCAATAATAATCGTTCACGGAGAGAATTTTATTTTAAAATTTACCCTGAAAATCATGTTAATCGTCGGACAACACAGTATTTCGACGAATTTTATATGATTTTCACTATTTTTTTAAATATATACCACAACAAATTTATTGTAGTGCACAGTAAAATTTGTTGAAATTCTATGTTGTCTCACGATTAACCAAATTTTCAGGAAAATTTTAAAAGGAAATTCTCTCCGTGTTGATTTAAATAATTGGCACAATTACTTTTAGAAAAATACATTTTTACCATTATTTTGAGCAATGGAAAAAATTATTTTTATAAAGAAAAGCTATATTTTACACGGCTCACTGAAAAAAGTAGCTTATCCTTTTTTTATATTAAATTAGGTGAGTTTACTAATTTTATCATAAAAATTAAATTTAAATATTTAACGAATAAATTCAATTATATTAGAAAATGTATTTGGGAATGAAGATATGTGCTTTAATGGATGACCATTTTCGAGGAAAGTGTTTGCACATTGTGAAGCAAGCGCGAGCAGGGAGAACCTTGAAATACATCGCCTTTGTCCGATCGTTATTATCTTACGTGAAAGTACAGCATTGTCGTGTCTAGGATGAACATGTCTCGATTGCAAATTACGTTAAATGTATATTAATTATCGAATAAACTCGGGCGGAATTATAGTAACTTTATGTGTTAGCCTGCTCACTTATTTTTATAGTGTATCTTTCTTGTATACTCTTTAGTTTTCCGGTTGTCAACTCATTTTTACTTCCTCAAACAATTTCTTGGCTTGTAATGTTTCGCCAGCATAATTAACTTTTTAGGAACTTGGCATTTTGTTTCTTACATCAGTTTTTATATGTATATTTACTTGATAATTTGGCATTATAATTTAAAAACCTGTTGAGAAATTTTAAATTAAACAGAAGAAGTTATTAATTTTGTACATTATTATTTCTTTGACACTTAGTCAGAATATACTTTTTCTTAGAATATAATAAACACACAAAAGAAATATAAAGAAAAATAAGAAATATTTCACGTAATTAGCGACAATCTGATTAAACATTTTTTTCTGTGTTTTACGAATATTACATGATAACATTATATAAAGATAGGAAATGTAAATCAATATGTTATGAGATTATTGACATTATTTGTGAACAATTTTTTCGTACATTTACAAATATTTCAAAATGGAAATTAGTATAGCAGTGACATTTAATTTTTTTCACTGATAATTATGCATGCCAATTATTTTTCTTAAGTTTTAAAAGGAATGGTAAATTTGTTCATTAAGGATGTTGTATTTCAGCAAGTTTAAACGACGATTGATGTTTAAACTTGATTTCGTTCTCACCGAGTATCACGAATATCCTAGGTCACCTAGGTAACGAACTAGCATCACAATGCTATCGTCGAGCTGTCCCTATAAATCTTGGCTTCTAAATCTTCCTTCTTCGTCCGAAAACGTTCGATACTGTAATCATCGATACAACGATTTTCTCGCTTTATAAATTTTATAATTTATAATATACACATATCATTCGTTAGTTCAGATGAAAACTCTGATTGACGTTTCGATAGAAATACCCTCGGAAAAATCTCTACATTCTCGATATGTAGAATTATTTGAAAATTCGCCATTATCGAATTTTAATTTAAGTGCAGTGCAACCACCGCCGGTCGTTTTCATCGAGCCATAGCTGTCCTCCTGCCATCGTCGTTTCCGTCGAACCATAGTTATTCTCCTGGCCATTACCATTGCCCTAACTCACCCGTAATATTTGCGAACCAGTCGTCCTCGAGATCGCCATTGCCGGTGGATATCTGCTCGTCCTCGTATACCTCGGCGTCGTCGTCGAGATAGCTGGATACATACACCGCCGCGTCATCATCACCTGCCGATTGCTTTCGAGTCCGGTTCGCCGTTCGCTGCGGCGTGTCGCTGGTGCAGGGCGCGGGTATCAGGAAGACGACGAGGCAGATCAGCAGGAGCCAGCAGCAGCAGCAGCAGGAGGTCAGTCTCAGGGCGGAGGGAAGCGCGCTCATCGCCCCCGCGGCGCAAATCAACCCCCGAAACCGACCACCGACGGCGCATCGACATCCTTCCCCGTCGCCTGCTCTCCCCTCCCTCCCCCCCGCCCTCCCGACCGTCCCGGCGCACCCTCGCGCCGTCGATGCCCCAGGGAGAAGCGCCTTACGTCGCGTTCGTCGCGTCTACAACGTTCTACGTGCGTCCGTTATCTCCTACGTGGCGGCGTAATAAGCGTTATTACCACTGCGAGCCCGCGCTGCGCCCGCACGCGAGCGCACCCGCTCGACGGCGCGAGGCTTCGCGTAATCCCAGCGCTTATTCAGCAACCCCTGAGAGCACTGCACAACGAGTGCACCGAGCGAGGAGACGCCGATCGTTTCGGACAACCTGCTCGAAACCGCTCCGCCTCGTTCACTGAACGGTCCTCGCGGGGCAAGAGCGAGGACGGACGCGGCTGCAGCTGCGCGCGGCCGCTACTCCGACGTGGCGCCCTACACCCCCGCTTCGTCCTCGCTTCGCCGTCGGTCCACATCGCGTCGATCGAGAGCACGGGGGTTAGTCGCCGTGGATCCCTCTCTCCGGAGAGAGAGCCGGGATGGCGGATGCATGTATTCATTAATTTATCGGTCAGCCTGATGCCATTAGAGTTTCTCTTCCTTTCGCTTCCCCGTTGACACTGTCCTTCGTATCTTTCGGAAATATATCTCGCGCATTGAGAGCGCCCTTCACGAATTCATCCGGCGCCACGAGTGAGCGTGTCGATTTGCCGAGTGTTAAATCGCCGCGGCGATTCGCGCCGTAATCGATTCGCCTTCGGGGAGGGGGAAAAAAAATAAAGGCAACAAGAGACCGGCACGCCTCCGGCCTCTGGTTCGGAGTTAAAGCATTATCGCGGACTGAAGTTTCGCTGCCTTATCGTCGCCGGACATCTGCCGGTGACAAGGCTACAAACTGAGGTAGTAATTACAGTCTAAAGGAGGTGACCGATATATTGCGGCCATACATGCCGAAAATGTCTCGAGAATGTTTCACTATCGTCCAGCGGTGTTAAACAGCTTCAATTGCGTCATATCTTGGTACTACACGACCGCACGAAGCTATTTGTGAATCCGTGGACAATATTAGCGATTCACCTTACTGGAGTATATTAGGAGCAAATTATAACAGCGTTCGCATTAAACAAAATCTGTTTTGAGAGATAGTTTTATATATATTTATATTGTTATATTTCTATTATTATCATCAAAATAACTTCGTGTATGCATATATTCAAGAAAGTAACAAACTTGATTAGATGAGAAAACATTATTATACTAACATCATTTATTGGCTGAATAAATATTACTTATCTTTACCTGATAAGATGTGATAAACAATAAAATATCTAATTTATCATTACTACTACAAATTGTACTATTTATCATCAATATCTACTATTGCAGTCCATTCTTCGTGACTGTCTCCTTCAAAGTTAGATCTCATAGTCGGACAACAAGGACTCGGTGGCAAAAGGTTCTCGCACAAAGATATTTGTTGATGGACCTATTAGAAAGCAAACATTACAAGATAGTTAACTCGTTTCCGAGTAAAATACAATAAAATATTAATTATAAGCTTTTTGTTTTAATATTTATAATAAATGAGAGGAGTGTTTTAAAAGAGCGATTTGATATTCGGGGAAACTGTGTGAACGTTTATCTTAACAATTACGTGAATATCACGATACGTACAGTTGAAAAAGTAGGATGTCGCAATTATCTTTCAGTTACGCTTTCGCCAAATCGTGAAAGCATGATAATTCTCGTTATTAATACACTTTGAAAAATACCTAAAGTAGCTAATTTCTTCTGTTGACGTTTGCGATACTTTATATACGTTATTGCTACCAGACCTGTGGCCAGTAATATAGCGATAGTCACGAAAGACCAAACTATTTTGATAACATTAGTCGAGGCAAAAAGCTGATTGTTATTAGTCACATAACATGGCAAATCTGCAAAATAAAAGGCAGTATGAATAAAATTAACAAATTCAAATTCTTTTTATAATACATAAAATTATATAAAAATAATATTTATTCTTAATGTCCCGTATGATTTTTCATATCAGTTTTTATACTTTTCTTTGCAAGACTTTTTTTAAGTTTTTAGTTCTGTATTTTTAAATTTTTATAAAATGAACTAAGAATATTTAATATAGGTTTTTTATGAAAAGATGAAATTTTGATGTTTTGCGGATAACATTTGCTAATAAACAATTTATATAATTTAATATAAAATCATCCTAAAAGAAATTAAAAATAATTCTTTTTCAAACTATAGAAATTCTGTTACATTAATGAAAACGATTGCATAATATACAGGATGTCCCAGATCACCTACGACACTCATTTAAAAATGAGGGAAGTGGTTTCTATCACAAATAGCAAACATTCTCATTTTAGGTGGTCTGGGATAATCTGTGTAATCAAAAAATTTATTATTAAAGAACATTAGTTAAAAATTTCCGTAAATAAGTTAAAAAATTTTTGCGACACAATTGAAAAAGGTATAATTTGTTTTTTGATTGCAAATACTTACCTGTTTTAATCAAGCAGCCGATATTAGTTGTATTGCCATCAGCAGAATGCATCATGATGCATAGTGTTTCGTTATCAAGGGAATAGTCGCAGTCACAATACGGTACGCTGTGGATAGCTTGTAAGATTGTACTATTTGTGTTATTACAAATCGTGATTCTGCAATGAATGTGCGAATATACTCAAAAATTTATTTAGCAAACTATTTAATGGCGGACGCTTTTCGCGAGGTCAGGAACGGAATGTTCGGACGGATCGATAATATTCACCTGTTGACGTCGTAATGATCGTAGGTCATCATGATGAGGCATATGGTCGGTTCATCGCAGTCCTGTCCCATCCATCCGAACTGACACTCGCATGCGTTGTATAAATTGTAGCGGTCAATGACACACTCGCCGTGTCCGCTGCAGTTGCGAGTACACTCGGGGATGCATCCTGAGTGATTGACGATATCCGGTACGAAACCGTCGTGACAGATGCAATGAT